TGTGGAATCACCCATGTGATTGACTTGTAAGGCACTTATAATTAGCATAATGGGGGGTGATGACCCTACATGGTTCCAGTTTCTTGACGAGGGACTGAGGACCCGCAACAAATATCAGCATCATAACTAAAGAAGGGGGTACAAAAAGGAGATTTAACTTTCCTGGCCACTGTAAAGTTGTAGCCACTTGACAGGGAGGTTATTCATGAACCTACTGCGATGGAAAACGTTTTGAAGGAGTTCATATATGTCATGCTGCTCAAGTTGTCCAAAACTCTACCACCATACAAAGGCGTGGATCATTGAATCGAGTTAGAGTTAGGAGTGAAGCCTTCAGTAAGACCACCATACCATATGGCCCCTCCAGAGTTGGTAGAGCTTAAGAAGCAGTTAGATGAACTGCTGCTCTCATCCATAGTTCTAAAGTACCATTCAGAGCTCTAGCCCTCTTCTAAAAGAAACAAAATGGGAACCTCCGATTATGCATCAATTATCGGGCCCTAAATAAGGTGATAGTGGAGAACAAATATCCCATCCTACTCATTACGGACTTGTTTGACCAACTAAGCAAAGCAAAGTATTATTCTAAACTCGACCCTAGGTCGGGTTACTAGCAGGGGCGTATTGTTGAAGCGACGAAGTAAAGACTACTTATGTGACTAGGTATAGAGCGTTCAAGTTCTTGGTGATGCCTTTTGGCTAAATCAATGCTCTGGCCATATTCTGTACTCTCATTAACCAACTATTCAATGAGTATTTGAATAAGTTTATGATCGTCTACTTAGACGACATCATTATTTACAACCGAATGCTCGAGGAGCATGTCGAGCACCTTCGAATAATTTTTAAGGTTCTCAAGGAGAATACTCTATTCATAAAAAGAGAGAAGTGCTACTTAGATGGAGATTTTATTCTTGGGGTATCGAATCAGTGACGGTTCTATTCGGATGGATAAATCAAAGGTGCAAGTTGTAGTGGAATGATGAACACCGAAGAAGGTGCTAGAGCTGAGATCCTTTCTTAGTTTCATCAATTATTATCAGCACTTCATAGTTGGATATTCGAAACATGTAGCTCCACTGACAGAGTTATTGAAGAAGGAGCAGCCTTAGCAATGGTTCAACAAATGCAAAGTGGCATTCTAAGACCTAAAGGCTACTGTATTAGAAGAATTGGTACTTAAATTACCGCACTATAAGAAGCCCTTCAAAGTTTATACGAATGCTTCAGACTTCGCTATTGGGAGGGTACTTATGCAAGAGGGTCACCCGATAGCCTATGAGAGTCACAAGTTCAATGAAATCGAGTGATAATATCCAATGCATGAGAATGAGATGACAACAGTAGTCCACTATCTACGAGTTTGGTGACAATACCTTCTCAGATCATGATTTGTGCTAAATATGGACAACATCGCATTGAGTTATTTTCAAACTTAAAAGAAACTCTCTTCAAAGCAAGCACGATAGTAGGACTTTCTGACTAAGTTTGATATAGCAATGGAGTACAAGTCACAAAGAGCAAATGTCATGGCTGATACATTAAGTTGGAAAGTAGAGCTAGTGAATGTCATGCAGCTAGAAGGCGAAGGCAAGCAAGTCAGTTATACTTCAACTTCCTTTCTAGAATAAGGGATAGACTGTATGATAATCCTTAAGTACTAACTTTAATGCAACTAATCAAGGAAGGCAAGACATAATGATTTTCGGTCCAAGAGGGATTCGTCTACACCAAAGGGAATATAGTTTATATTTCTCGAGTAGACAATTTAAGATATAAACTCTTAAAAGAGTATCATGATTCCCTTTGAGCTAGACGTTTGGGCATTTACCGAATATTGGCTCTCGTGGAGAGGGCCTTCTATTGGCCGAAAATAGGGACTGATATAGAATAATATGTTTGAACATGCCTTACTTGCCAATAAGATAAGATATAGCAACAAAAGCCAGTAGGATTTTGGAGCTATTACCCGTACTAGAAACATCGTGAGAGAGCATTTCCTTAGACTTCATATCAAACCTGTTGATAGCATGAGGACTTAGATCGATACTCGTGGTGGTCAATCGATTTTTAAATTATACAACATATATCTCTACACCTCTGCACTATTCAATAAAGGAGGTAGCCAAGTTGATGATAAATATTGTGATGAACTATTGGAGAGTCCCACAAAATATCATTAGTGATCAAGATGCTCAATTCTTAGGATGTTTCTAAATAGAGCTATTCAAATTGCTAGGGTCCAAGTTATACTTCTCCACAAGCCTCCACTCCTAGACCAATGACCTAACTAAAAGAATAAATTTGTTTCTTAAGTAATATCTTCAGCACTACGTGAGTGTCAACCAATAGGATTGGGTAAAGCTATTGGACATTGCCCAATTCTCCTACAACTTGCAGCGGAGCTCTGTGTCCAACAAGAGTCCCTTTGAGATCATTATGGGACAATAACTATCGACTCCTCACACCTTGACGATCGAGCATACTAAGAGTAATCCATCAATATATTACTTTACGAATAAATAATACCAAAATACATATATTGCATAAGCTTACTTGGATAAGACGACCAAAAGGATGAAGAAATGGGTAAACTTAGGATAGTGACCATTGGAGTTTAAAGTTAGCAATTTGGTATTGTTAAAGCTCTAACTAGTGTTACTTTAATTCTTTAGGCATAAAGTGCATAAGAGATTGGTGCACAAGTATTAATGACCCTTCCCAATTATCAATAAGGTATGCAATGTCTCCTACAAGTTGCAACTACCGGTGTGGCTTAAAATTTACAATGTCTTCGAGGCAAGTAACTTGAAAGCCGACCACTCAGATCTACAAGATACTTCCCAAAGTGTTCCATCTTGGCTACCTCCCACCATAGCCTCCTACGAGATGCAAGTTGAAATCATTTTAGTAAATCGTAAGACAAAGCTACCCAACGGAATGGAGCAAACCGAATACCTATTGAATTGGTGAAAGTTTTCTGAACAAAAGCTAGTTGGGAGTACGAAGACACCCTATAATACAAAGAAATAGTCATCAAAACCTACTAGCAAGCATCGATAAGGGTGTTGATAATTTAAGTAGAGGAGAATGTTGTTACGAACGGTCGTCATGCACCCACAAAATTTTTGTTCAATGAACCATTCGTCACTTTTTGCATGCTTGTACAGATGCTTAACAGCACGTTTTGCCTTGGTTTTATGTATTTTTCCTTGAAAAATATAAGCAAGAATAGTTCGTAGTTCTATAGTGCCACAACCTAGCAAAATTGCCCCAAAATAGCTTCATTTTTTCGTACTACGACCTATTTTCTGTAGATCGCAGTGTGATACAAAATGTCAACCATCTCAAACCCATAAAACCTTCCAAGTGGCATAAGGGTGGATGAGGCTTTAGAATAGTATCAAGCGTTGATCGATTTATATAAGTTTGCACGTTAAGTTGATGGAAACTTGCCATCACGCCTAACACCCGGTGAGCAGTCTTTCGTGGACTTGTGACTATTCATTTTACCTTCTAAAGTCCATTTTCTCCTTCCTCTTGTTTCTCTCTTGCACTTAAGGTGTTTGTTAAATTGATTGTAATTTTACGGGTCCTCCGGGACCTAACCGAGGTTGCAAATTGGGTAACCTTTTATGGATGCATATCGCAATGGCACTTCATGACTTAGGTGATCCTAACTAAGTCCGAGAAGTTAGTGCAAGGGTGCTTCATAACTTAGGTAACTCGAGTTAAATCTGTAACTTTGTTGTAATGGTGCCTCGTGACTTAGGTAGTTTCAGTTAAGTTTGTGACAATACGTTGTGGGAATGTACGTATATGTTATATGTATGATGTGGGAGTGCACATATATATTATTGCGTGCGATGCGAGAGTACACATATATATTATGACATGCGGTGTAGGAGTACAAATATATATTATGATAATGTGTGATGTGGAAGTACATGTATATGTTATGATATGGGGTGTAAAAATCCATAAATTTGCTATATTTGCTACATGTGCATATCAGCATTTCCAATTCCAATGTAGAATTTTACATCCTTATGGTGCATGTACTATGTTGTAGGGTTGTCCTTACTAAAGAAGTGTGAGATGTTTACTATTAAATATCTTATCATCATTATTTTAAAAGATTGTATATATGACATAATGCATACTCACATGAATAAAATTATAAAGACTTATACTTAATAAGAGATTACTCACCATGGACCCTATTTTATAGAAAACGATACTAGCTTCTCACCCAAGTGATTAGGTAGAGAAATGAGCACGCCAAACCCTTGCCAACGCAGATATAAACGATGAACTATAGGCATTTCGTATATAAAAATTTTGAATATGATAGATTATACATAGAACTAGTTAGGCATGTTATGTTTGGGTTTTTCCTTTTAGTTATATGATATAATTTTATAGAGGTGTCAAAATCATTATATAATGAGGAAACACTATCGTTTTATTTAGTAAATTAGCATGTCTTAAATTTTAAGATTGCATACCTTTTCTTGCATTCATATTGATAGTAGTAATATGAATGATGGAAAGAAATTTGACGCACTAAAGGTATGGATAAAAGTAAGAGTATGGTATTACAATAAAGAGGACAAAGAAATGGCTCAACCATCCCCATTTCGACAAGTCTATTAGTCAAGGAGAAGCGATAGTGTAGAAGCTTCGAAGAAAACACCTTAATATGAGGTGTCCCTCCCCTCCCCCAAGCCATGGGAATAGTCCTATGTAAATCTCAAAGACTAGATCCTCACCAAAAAAAAAAAAAAAATTCTATAGTTCATTAACATTCCAAGCTTCATCTGAATAAAATCAGCAACCACAAGCGCTACAAAAATATTAACCAAAGCCGATAAACATTTCAAATGATGGTCATAAAAAAGATTGACTAAAAATATTTCATAGGTTAATAATACTATATTTAACCATAACCACATGCACCCAAGGGCTATTCTCATTGTTCAAATAAAAAATATATATATTTATCATACAAAGTTAAATTTATTAAGTATAAATCCTTCATTCCTAAACCACCCTACGAAGGATAATCTCGTCCCAAGCAACGAAGGTAGGAAGGAAATACTTCTACTGTCGCCATTATTGTTGGAAGTAAAAACGTGACTTAGAGAAGACTACGAGAGTTCTAATTGACGAGATTCTCGGCAGACGTCGGCGCACCTTCCACCTCGCTCTACCCCTCCAACTTGGTGGACTTGTACCACTTCGCGCAAGCCACGAAGACAACAAAGTCTGCGCTGGTTAGTGCTGCTAATAGGAAGTAGAACCTGTCCAAATGGCCGTGGTTCAGGTTCTCCGGAATCCACCCTGCTCTGCCGCCTCTCGCCGTTAGCTTCATCACCGCCGTCACGATGAGGTCGCTGAAGAAGTTCCCGAAGGACATGGACGTCAAGTAGAGTGCGCTTCCGAAGCTCTTCAGCCCATACGGGGCCTGCCCGTTGTAGAACTCCAGCTGACCCACGTACATGAAAACCTCGGAGGCTCCTATCAGCGCGTACTGGGGCACCTGCCACAATATGTGCAGTGAGCTTGCGGCACCACTGCAACCGCTGCACGGCGCCCGGGCTTGCTTCAACCGGAAGTGCTCCGCCGTGCCGGCTGCGATCATGGCCATGACGGCGATGACCAGCCCGACTCCCATCCTCTGCAGTTCCGTGAGCCCCACACGGCTCTTTTTGATCCTGCAGACGAGCGGGTGGAGGAGCCTGTCTCGGAGGAAAATGAAGATGACGACGCCGAGGATGTCGAAGGCCGACATGCTGGAAGGAGGGATGGAGAAAGCTCCGACGGTGGTTCTCATGGCCGCGCCTTGGACGACAAAGAGGGAGGCCATCTGCGTGAACACCACCGAGTAGAGGATGGTGCAAAGCCATATGGGGATGAGCCTCAGCACGCACTTCACCTCTTCCACTTGCGTGATGGTGCAAAGCCGCCATGGGTTGCGGCGAAGAGACTGGTCTTGGAGGGTGAAGTCGCCGGCGGTGACAAATGCCGCTCGGTCCAGGAACCTTTGCACGTAAAATTACGAACCATGTCAAATGAGAGTAAGCTATACACGTATAGTGATAGCAAATAAATTTTCAGATATAGTATGATGGTTTGGAATGATGATTGATGTCCATTTTCCATATATCATTTTGACGCAGCCATTGAACAAAAAGGATTTACTAGTCCAACATTGATGTAAAACAAAGAATCCTACGTCTGAAAGATCTGCAACTAGATGTTACCCAAATGTGCTTGCTCAAAGTGATAGACCTTTACATCTTAATACAAGTGAAAGATCCATGTTTGTTGCACACAGCAGCATGTTCGTCTTAGTTTGGAGACTGGTGCTTCCACAAAATCTCACATTATTGGACATGTATCCCACCATCATCCACTCAGCAGATGTTAGCTTTTCACGCATGGAGGGTCTGTCACATTAGACGATAATGCCGCATGCCACACAATTTCTGAAGCCGAGAGCGATCGTTCCGTATCAGAAAAGAAAGAACAACCACCAAACTTGGGAAAGTGACTCGTGGGATTTTAAGGTCTACTGCTTTGTTCTTAGGTTGACTCGATCTATCTTATCAATAGCAACAGTCAAGTCACCAAGTGGACTAGTGGCATTAGCTATCCCTATCTTCTAATAGGAACATCCCACAAGAGCCACGAAGAACTATTGAATTAGAAAACAATGCCTCGAGACCTCGTTGACTATGCTCTCACAATCACATGCTCTGGTCTTTGTCATTTCTTGGAAGATCTCCACATCATCTTTCCAAAAAATTTCCATTGAAATGTAGGCCACAGTACATTAATTGTACTGCAATTATGGTATATGATAACTGGTTTGAGAAGTCGGATGTGTTTGTACCTATGGCATGTTATCTACTCCGGTAATAATGTCATATCATCGGAATAAAACTAACAGAGTAATCAAGATGAATAAGCACTTTGTAAAGCTTACTTGAAACCCTCGGTGTGGAGTATCTTCTTGCTGCCATTGGTTTCTTGGAACTCCTCCTCATCCGTGTCGTACAGATCAACTCCGCCTGGCTGCATCTTGACCCTCCATTTCCTTGACGCGGCGACGACCGCTTGGCAGATCCTGGATAGGGGATTTCCACATGGCTTGAAGTGTCTGTACCTGGGGGTCCCACTGAGGAAGAGGACGAGTGCCACGCAAGCGGATGCGCTGGACGCCCAAAAGCCCAGGGTCCACATGCCATGGTCCTCCAGGTAACTCAGGAAGGTGTTGGAGAAGAGGGAGCCCAAGTTGAGGGCCAGGTAGAAGTAGCTGAAGAAGGAGACCTTGGAGTGTGCTTCCCTTGGGTCCTCCTCGTCGAACTGGTCAGGTCCAAAGGTGGCTATGTTGGGTTGGTAGCCTCCATTGCCAAGGGCAATCATGTAGATAGCTAGGTAGAACATCTTAACTTCAAAGCTGGAATGAGTACCACAGGGGGTGTGACTGTCGCCGCACCCCGAGGGTTTGATCAGGAACAGATGTGAAGACAGGGATAGCAGAACCAAACCCTGTTAGCAAAAGAGAGAGAGAGAGAGAGAGAAAGATGAACACGTCGTGTAGGAAGATTGATGTTGATCGACGGCTAGTATCTTACCATGGGAAGGCTTGGATGGTTAACTTACAAGCACGAAGATGACCTGGAAGACAGCGCAGGTCTTATATCTACCCCAGTAGGAATCGCTAAGGAATGCTCCGACAAGGGAGAAGATGTAGACGGTGCCTGTCCATTTGCTGACGTCGTTGGCTGCATCCGCATTGTTCCGCTGCAGCACCCTCGTCAGGAACAAAACCAGGTTGACGTTCATCCCAAAGAATGCAAGTGTTGCTAAGCCCTGATTTACTGCAATGCAGAGAAAAGGTTCAACTTTGCGAGCATCATGATCTTAAGTTGGGCTGTTTCTACCAAAACAAAAGGAAACTTTGCCTGGAACATGATGCAGAACTAGTGGATGAAGTAGACCAACTCAAAGATGCACATATCTATGCATCTTTGGAATATAAACTCAATCATATGAATGAATTGTGGACCTACATGAGACTTCATTGGGTGTGTTGCACCAACTTATGTGACAGAAGAAGAAACAAAAGAAAGAATGCACGAATCTCTTCTTTGTATGTATTCACATACGCAGTAGGTGATGTCGACTATTCATCTTGAATCATACTTCAATATACGAAAAGCCATTTCCTTTTATGATCGATGAGTAGGAAGGACTTCACAACTTCATCTCGGCTTCTTCTTCAAAAGCAGTAACGTATAGATCTTTGTTCCTCACTTATTATTGTATTGTTGTATGAAGTCAAGCTACTGTTCACCATTGCTTGATGACAAAGTTGCCTATGTTTCATACCATACCAAAACTCATATGTGGATTAGGATGCCGTTCTCAATAAAGATTTTCTATATGTGGTCGCTTGCTTTATGTGGTGAAAAGTACAAGACAACAGAAAACATGATGCTTCCTCGATAAGTGAAGTGTTTTGAATCTTTAACGTGATGGAAAACCAGTCCACCATGTAATTCTATTTGAAAACTTATTCTTTCCTCCCATCCTCTTTCACCAGTAGATTTCTTATTTTCAGATGCTATAACCAGTATCATTATACTCCATTTCCTCTGCTACAAATTCTCAAAGCTAAATATAGGACCCAATACTAGATTATATTCTCTTTGCCTTCCATTTATCATTAAGAACACAAAAGTTTGTAGGATTATGGCCATAGTCCCAAGTTGGTGGAACTCAATCCTACTTTCAACAGCACCCTTGTACCATATGATGAAGAAATAATTACCAAACAAAAACGTGGTATCAAAGGAAGTTACCAAGCACAAAGGCTCCAGCCACCCATCCACCAGATTTTGCTTTGGCAGCTGGATTTCCTCCGAAGTCGACCGAGCCATCCATGGTATACTCGGATTTTGCCTCTCCTACATTCATCTCAACTTCTCTTGCTCCTGGATTTTCCTTATTCTGCAATTATACAGCGTGAAGGCTTAGTAATCCCATCTATGGTCTTCAGACAGATGCAAAATGGCAGTGTATGGCTACGCTAATCCTCTTTAGTGACTGATCGTGACATGTCCAAGGAATTCTTTACTATTCAATCATGAAGGTTATAGTAGTACTGAAATGGCGTGTCTGTGCAAGTATTGTGAATTTAGTAAAGATGATCAGTGCAAATTACGTGATTATACCGATCATAATTCTGTGGCCAATCGGATTTAATTTGCTCTACATCTTGAAGAGGTTTTAGCTTGCAATTCTATGTTGGGAAAGAGATAATTAAAAAAAATCCAGAAGTGGTGCTCAATCGTTTAACATGTAATCGTTTTGGTGGGGTATCAATAGATATTCTTCAACATAGTACTCTCTTGTTTGTTGATATAGCTAAGTTCCCTTTCGAACACCTTCCCACAACACTAGCTCACAAATATCATTTATGGAAGCACATTGATGCTGTCACCTAATTCTTTGTTGAGCTTTGGAGTATTTGGCTAACTAAACCAACTTATTGGAGAGGAAGAGCCAAGAAGACACAACATGTTTTGTGATCACAAATAGCATTAGAAGATACTGACCGTTTCAGGTACCTTAGATTTAGCCATGCTAACCACCATGGGAATGCACAAAGGAAAGCAGAAACAAGAGCTGAAGAGGAGTGGAAGTGAGTTGGTCGCTGAAGGGGGGAAGCAAGTCTTTATAGGCTGGAGAGGTAAGTGGGTGGTTGTGGTATGAAGTAGCATCATGGTTGATGTCACTGGAAATACGATAAAGGCTTAGAAGATGTAGAGAGAGAGAGAGAGAGAGAGAGAGAGAGAATTGTTCTTAAAGCCATAATCTCTCAGGGGCAAAAGATTAATCTACTTACTAAAGCCAGTTGGAGAGCATATTCCAAGGGGCTATTTACGTACAGTTGCATATATATAAGTTCACACAAAGGTATCTTTAAAGGAGGACAACCTTAGCAGCAAGTTGCTTAGTTGATCAATAATGGGAATCTGGAACATAATCTTAAAGACTTTGTTCTGATGCTACTATGCATGCCTTTGATTTTTCTTTTTTGTTTCCCCATGTCCTGCATTGTGCTTAAATTCATCACATGCTCTCAAGCACAGAATCTGGCATATCATCGCAGTAACTTCGTTCTGATCTACATATCTAGGTTTTTTTTTTCTTTTTTGTTTTTGCGTGTGTGTGTGTGGTTTCCTTGGATTACGCAATGTGCTTAAATCCATGACATATTCTCCATAATATAGAATGATCCACATCTTATAGGGATGTTCTAGAAACAGCTGGGTTGCCACTTGCTGTGGAAGGAACTGATTCTTAAGTGCTTCAAGTACCTCACAGATGTGGTATTCTTCTCTTATCTACTTTTTATGATATCTGAACCTTTTTCTATTGCTAATGAATTATTTAAGCACCAGATACCATTCATTCGCTGACATGAAGGACTCCATAATTGTTCTTCAGGTAGAACATTGTTAGGCTTTAGGGAGATTACATGAAGATGTTGCTGAATACATTCTCTCTTTAAACTCAAGTGGATGGCCCGTTCCGCAACACAAGATTTGCCCGAAAATACTTTCATTCCCAGGTTGACTAGAGCTTTTGACTTAAAGAGTTAATGATATTATATGACTTATGATATAATATTAACGACCAATGCAATACATAAAAACTGATGCACTTTCCCGAGTATATGCCAATGCTTTATTCGATTCATGATGTTCTTGGTTAACAAATTTTCTGTACAGCTTTTACTTTCTATGAATACTAAATACTAGCAACTGCACGTAAGATGATGGTTGTCATGCTTGCTCTGACAGTAAATTTGACCTCATGTAACTCTCATGGTGAGATATAAAAATTTGTAGGATAAACATATAATTTCGCATGTATTTACTGCATGTGAAACTCAGATGTTTAACAATCAAGGTCTTGGTTGATATTGGACGAATGTACATGATCATTCAACAATGGCATCATGACAGTAATTATCTCTCTCAAGTGGGAGGGCAAATTGCAGACTAATACAAGACTTGCTTCCCCTTTCTTTCTATCTTGGAGACTTTCCAAGGAGTGGCATCTGTTCCAAATGCCCTTGTTTATAGCTGGAATTAATATACCCACTAGATGGAGAAACATCTTATCCTGAAAGAGACATTGGTGCAAGTAACCTGGGCAGAAATGATGGGTCTGCTTCAGTTCCCTGAAGCCATGGAAGAGTTTTCTCAGTGGTAGTGCGGTTCCAAATTTATAGCAAGGACTTTTTGGTGAAAAGAACCAACAATGACATCCACAGCTTGTGCAACTTTCGAGCAGTTGCTTGAGGTTTTCACAAAGAAGAAACAATTTTCAAAAGGTAGAGCTAAGAATCCTTCCGCTTGGTGATGGAAATCTTAAAATAAGAAGTGAAGTAGCTGTTGTTCTATGTAAAAGAGGTCATGCTTTCGATGTATAATCGTACAGGTCAGAATATGTTCGGCATCCCAAGCATAACTTGTGACTGAATTCATTCATCGAGGATTCCACGTGGTCACATGCTGACATCGACCGAGCAAATGGAGCGACGTCCCGTGGAACTGCTGCTCGTCGAAATGATTCTATTGCTTCGACAAACATATTTCCATCCTCTCATGAATAAAAATATTCAGGAACAGTATATGAAACAGTAAAATTTGCTGCCTAAGAAGCGATTTCTTTTCTTATCTTAATCAACAGTATTCCTGTTCACATCACTACTGGGAAGATCCTTTCGGACCTAACTTCTTCCAATGGTGCCAAATATCATTTTCCTTTTCCTTTCTCGTGGAATATGTAATGGTGCGAGCAGTGCCGTATCTGTCGACGGGCCATGGCCGCAACCATGCATGGCTGCGAGAAGCAAGTGCTCGTATTGGCACACGCATCGCCATCGACTGCAGTTAACTTCAGAATCTTTACACGCGTATCGTAGGATCGGTCAACAGTTTATATAAGTGGAGAACAAGATCAAGGCACTGTACCTCTGTGGTCGGCTTATCGCTGCTTAACCGATGTCCCTCGCTCCATTCAACGTCCACTTGCTGCACGAACAACCGTCGTCAATCCATGGGATGCCACGGAATCATGTTTACGATCCTGACACCAACTACAGTCAGCGCCCTTGTGCATAGAACAGGCCACGCCGCTAATTCCCCGCGCGACAGGCGGATGTTGGACTACTGTTCTCGAGAAATCCACATCTTACCACCAGGATCGATCGATGTGGTTCTTTCTGGTATGTGTTCGGAATGATGATCTAGAGCAACAGTTCTGGCTCTCATCATCTGGGGATGTGCATTACCAAAGGAGGCTCTTTCCGGCTTTTAGCGAGTGGTGTTGCTGCTGTCTATCAGAGTTCTGTTATCATGGATATGGGCTACCAAGTTAATCCTTATAGCCCCCCCGCGCGTGTGGCATGTAGTTTCAATGAGCTAATGATCATGTCACGTCACGTCCACGTGCTTCCTGCTGCAGGAACTCCGGCACAGTGTGCCACAATGCTGCACCACTGTGGAGCCTGCTCGAGCTACTCCTTTATGACTAGATGATCACTTCTTTCAACACCACTTATCTAAAAGTTTAGAGAAGTCTGAAGATGTTTTCAGTAAACCATAATGGTCGAACGGCTGACAGAGATGGGACTCTCCACTGTATGCCGCGGCAGCGATCTGCGTGCGTGCGTTCGGTCGGTGTCGTGACCCTCTACGTTAGTGCAAACTAGGGCGTCGATTCCAGTGCGCACCCATGCCTCCGACGTGGAGTTGCTCCTCCGGAATTAGTGTTCGTTTTGTACGCAAAGCGTCATCATCTTGGAACGCATTAAGCACGGGATTCGAAGTGCTTTATGCTAATTATAGACAGACCTAACTCGGAGTTCGTGGTGTTCATCTGGTTTGTATCCCATCAAAAGTGAAGGTCTCCATCGTCGGACAGCTTTTCTTTTGCCAGTATGCTCACCCACCACCAGCAGTGTCTTCGATCAACTGGCAGGCATTAAGGCTATTAGGCGATGGATGACTTGATGACTCGTGCATATTTTTTCTGGACGATAATCGAGTGTTGAAAAATTGAAGGATAAATCTTCGGATTACAAGCAACAACAACATCACTGCTTTCTAGTGGTGGATTCGAGGGTTTTGTCTCGTCTCCCTTTCCAAGGAACCTTGACGTTGTCTGTGGTTTAGATTGGCTGCTTCGGTAGTGCTTGTACCATATAACCCATATGAATGGCCAGTGGCATTCTAAGTTAGGTCGCTTCTCCTTTTCTCAGAAATCTTCAATATGAGATATATTTACTGAGATTATTGTAGGTCGTTTTCTTCTTTTATGATCGGTTAGAAATCTTCACTATGGGTAAGATTATTCTATGTCGCTTTCTCCTTTGTTGAGATTATTCTAGATCATTTTCTTCTTTTACGATCTGTCTCCTTTAGCAAGATTATTCTAGATCGCTACGATCTGAGGAGATTTTTCGGTATTTGCCTTTCGGTAAATGGAGCTTCGTCATGTAATCTGAGGACATTGCAGTTTGATGTGCTCTTCTCGTGGCGATTCTTTTCGCTCATTGCCTACACTTGGTATTCGTCTAATGCTCATCATCATTGAAATCTGATACAGGCCATTAAAAGGCTCGAAGAGGCCATTTAAAGTGAGTAACTAAACTCAGGAAAGCCCAAAATCATGGTCCATGTACGGCCCATCAATCACTAAGCACAGTGTAGATAGATAGATAGATAGCTTGCTAGCACAGCGGAGTCCAGCAAACAGTGTCCTGTTTCGTTGCTCGTCAGTGTTGGACATCAACTGTTTGATGGAATTCGGCTGAGCTGAGAAAAGATGGAGGATACCCGTGAGTGCAGGCACTTGCAAGTTTGCTCTCGCTATTCAGCGGATGGTTGGTAATGAAATCTCTTGAAATCGCTGGCATAGCAATTCTTTCGGCAGATTTGTGTCAATTTCTGTGGCAAGAGGTTGTACAACCTATGCAGTGTGTAGTAGTACATCTGGAAATCAAAATGAATCAATCAACAAGTTATTAGATATCAAAGACAAAGGATCCCAAAACACACTCAGATTTGTCTATTATTATTAACCTAACCCTAATTTATATTTGGGAAGTGCAGTGGCTATAAAAAGAGACAGAAAGAGGCAACAACAAATCAGTTTTTGACAATCACGGGATTCTAAAGAAAATAAGAAGAACAAGGCAGAAAAGGAAAGAAAAAAAGGAAAAAAGACAAGCAACATGATCCTTGCATCTCAGTTATTCTCTTGTGATTGTTACTAGGGTTTTGGGCAATAGATTGAGATTTGTATATTCATTATTATTATAGTAGATTATCTCTAGTTTGCCCCATAGTTTTTACCCTTCACATTGAAGGGATTTTCTACGTATATCTTGGTGTTATATTTGATTGTGATTCCATTTAATTCCGCTGTGTATTATGACCTACTAATATTTGTTCATATACAAAAATTATTTCTTTATATATCCCATCAACAATATCCTAATATAGTCGGTTCTATATCATAAACGAGTCAAAGATTGATTTATGAAAGATTAATGTTTAAATCGAGTTTAAGTATTTTGAACTAATAATTAGGTTCAACAAATTTTAGATCCGATCAAGATAACTTGTATAGTAGAGCATTACGAGAGATTTGATTAAGAAAAAGTCAAAATATGTGTGAGATTATAACATCTCAATTTAAGTCTACCACCTATATCTATATGTTTTAATCAATTCTTAACACATGGCAAATCATGATTTATCTGCAGTGCTAAGACTCCCACCTGTACTTATATATTTTAATCAATTGTTTTAGACTTTCTCCGATTGAATAAGGTAAGATCAATTGTTGACACACGGTAACTCTATATTTCTTTGGAGTAAAATATTGCCATCAGAGAGAACGACTCCTCCAATATGTTGCATGGCATTTAGGTGAGCGGGATTATGGTCGATTGTCCATCGCGATGGATGTAGATGGCTGCAATTTTGATGCCAATCAATTGACTTTTAAGTTGCAGAAAGACATGGCAGTCGCTGTTACCCACCAAGCCTATCTACATGTCAAAGGAGAATAAAAAGAACGCATAAGCAACAGAGAAAGGGGCCATTTCCAGCATCGCTCTTGGCGAATACTGGACATGACCTTTTCGCGACTTCTCGGATCACTGCGCTAATAGATCGTGTTACAAGAGAGAGAAACCAAGATCCAGGCACGGAAGAAAAGGAAGAAGAAGAAGCCATAAAGCAAAGCCTGCAATTATTATACGATGAAGTCCGCTCCGTTGGCCCCTGCGGAACTTTGTGCATCGTTGGTGATCAATCGCACAAGCGACAAATGTAGCCGAAAGTGTGAGCAAAAGTGACAGCGCCTCCTCCGTTGCCTGTTCTTGTCCCCATTTTCTTTGATTTTTTTTGTCTTTTGCCTTGTGTTCCTGTTGAGGTATATTTCAATGATACTTTTGTTCATTAGAATGTAGCACATATGTTTATGTTTTTCTCCCATGCCTTTCGGCTTTCACCCAACTTGATTTACGAGCTTGTTAACAAGCTTTGAGTTTCTCAGCATTTGGTTCTTCATGTGAATTATTTTGGCTATGTTGATCATCCCTTTATTTCATAAGACTATCTTTCGAAGTAATGGAGATGAAAAGCACCTGCTTCGATCATTTATTTGTGAATCAGTTTATGGAATCAATGATTTAATTTACTTTCCCTTT